TGAACGAGTTTATGAAAGGCAGGTCTTCTTATGCCCATTTCATGGATGAGGACACTGGGGCTCAGAGAGAACACCAACAGGGCAGTTCCAGCCCTCTTGTGTGTAGGGTCGGGGTGGGCGTTGGGGAGGCCGGCGTGCGGGGCTGCAGCTCCTGGCGCACGGCGGACGCGCTCGCGGCTGCAGCTCCGGAGCAGGCGCCTGGGTCGCCTGCAGCTGGTCAGAGCGTCCTCAAGGGCGGTGCGGGCGGCAGACTGGGCGGGCACTGGCGGCGGCGGCGCGGGAGGGAGGCAAGCGGGCGGGGAGACCGGCAGGGCGGCTCCGCTCCGCACGCAGAGAGCGCCGGGCCGCCGGAGCAGGTGAGACCGGCGCGGGCCCCGCGATTTGCCCCGTGGATCCCAGGGGCAGAAGGGACCCGGGCCCGAGGGGTCCCCGGGAAGCCGCACGCTTCCTCTGCCGGGCGCCTGGGGAGGGCTCGCCGGGTGGGCTTTGCAGGGGCTCAGAGCCGCGCAACCGGGGCGGTGCGGGGAACCCTGCTCCTCGAGCGGACTTGGGCTCCTTCAGTCTCACCTGTCCTCATCTGTGTGCTGCCGGGAGAGCAGGTAAGGGGTGCGTGGAAAATGTGGGCGCCGCGGGCTTTAGGAGACAGAAGCTGTTTGCTGAAATTTCGGGAAACAAAGCAGACATTCTTCTCTCCATTCTTAACCTCATGGGAGAATTGATATTATTTGTATTATCCATTAGTTTTCCTCTGAGTGCTGGGAAGGCAGGCTGCAGTGGAGGGCTCCCCCCCCCCACCCCGCTCCCCGGGTTGCAGAACGAGAGCTGCTTGGGATCTAAACCCGGAGACACTATTTCACTGACTTGGCACAATAGTCTGCCTTCCCGCTCCCAGAATCGCCACCCCCTGGGGTGTGCCTGGAGGACCTGAGGTCTCCTGGCCCTCACTGGGCATCTCTGAGGAATGCAGTGGGAAGTGAGGGACAGTCTTGGTGTGAGGGCCCTCGGGGGAACTCCAAATCACCCAGAAGGGTCTGAAGTGGTCGGAGTGGCCCCAGCTCAGCAGCCTTGGGGAGTGGATGCAATCACCTTGAGGTGATCCTGGTGAAGAGTTGCATTGCTGGAGGCTGAAAGGGATAGACACTCGCTTGTGATAGCCCTTCAAACCTACGTCTCTCCCCTGGGAGCTGTGCTCTTGTGTTCTGCCCCGGCGAGGGGCCTCTGGGGTTCCGAACTGTGTCGGGAAGGAGGCAGCTCTATCTAGGAGTGTCATTCCATTAGGGACTCCAAACCCGCATCTGCTTGGGAAGGATGAGGGGCTGGAGAGGCTGGGCTGTCCGCAGAGCTGCCCCGGGAGGAGGGTGCTCTGAGCCAGCATGCTGGGGCCCGAGGCCAGGGGATGCTGGGCAGCTGCCACCCCACCTGGGGCATCTTCTCACTTGGGCGAGCCACATCCCGGCACCCCCAGGTGCTCACCCAGTCACGCTTTGTTGGGGACCTTGGATGTCCATCTCCAACCCTGCCTCTACCGCTCCACCTGCCCCACGTTAGTTCACCTCCTGCTTCAAGACAGGCCCCGCTCCTCTTTCCTCCTTTTCAAAATCTCTGTCTGGCAGGGCCTGGTGCAGGGGGCTTCAGAATCAGACTGACCAGGGTTCCAGTTCAGCTTTGCCACTTACTGACTGTGGGGACGTTGGCCAGGTCCCTTCATCTAACTGGGCCTCAGTGTCCTCCTCTTTGAAATGCGGCTGCTATTAGATCCAACCATGTGAATTTGCTGTCTTTGCAGGTTGAAAGCGCTTGGATACTGGCAATTTCACATGGTTCAGCCTAGGAACGCCTTCCTCCCAGGGCTGCAGTGTGGATTAATGATCAGGGAGATGTCTTGTGCCCAAAGCTCAGTGAAGGCTAAAGTCCCTTCTGCCCTCTGTCTCCCAGCAAAGTGTGCGCTCTCCAGGGTGAGGCAAGACACACCCCCTCCTTGGGCTCCCTGCGAGACTGGGCTCCCGCCTTCCCTCCCCTGCCTGTCTTTCCAAATTCCCCTTCCTGCTCCTCTGGGTATGGCAGGCTCAGTTGCTTCCATTCTCTCCCCAACCCCCGCCCAGGTACAGCCCCTGAAGCTGCTTGGGCCTCCCATGTGTCTGCGGGACCAAACTCAGACCAGAGTCACCTCTGCATGCGTGCTGCCACTGCCTTCTCCCTACTGCCCCTGTGCACTTTCTACAGAAGGAGACCAGCTTTTGTGCTGACCTGGGGCTCAGGGGTTTGAATTATTACTGCCTTGCCCCTGGAGAATGCTTTTGGAAATCCTCAGTTCCTGTGTACAGAGGGCCTTTCTGGCGTAGGGGCTTATGGAGTGGTCCCCTCCCTGGTGTTCCCTTCCAGCACCTGCAGCTCTGGAGAAAGATGCAAGGACCAGCTGGCGGTTCTGCTCCTTTCTTGGTCCCCCAAAGATCTCCTTCCCATGTTGATGCTCTCGCAGCCCCAGCACTTCCCTCCTCTGCCCCAGTCCCAGAAGCTGCTGGGAAGGGCTGATTTGGGTTCAGGCATCTGTGTGATCTAATCAGTGGGGACTGGTGTGGGGTTTCCCGGCTCACTGGTGACCATCCCTTGTGTTAGCTCTTTATGGATTCTCTGAGAAGAGGGCTGCAAGCCAGGCAGATCCCCAGTGCTACCTTCAGCTCTCCCCCTCCTCCTGTCTTGGCCCTTTCCCTCAATCTATTCTCTACATCCAAGTGACCTTTCTGGAATGAACTTGGGCTTGCTGGCAGCCTTTCAGCAGCTCACCCAGCATTCCTGGTCTGGCTGACCTCTCCAGCCCATCTTTTGTCACTCCCTTCCACCTACTCTAGGCTCTAGTTATTCTGAACTGCTTACTGTTCTCTGAGGAGGCTTTCTTCTTTCCTGCCTCCTTGCCTTTGTGCCCTGTTTCCTGTACCTTGAATTCCTTCCTCCACCTTGTCTATTTGGATAGTTAACTCCTCTTCATCCTTTGAGCCCTGGATCCATGTCCCCTCTTCTCTCATCTCCTTGCTTCCTTCCTCGATCTCCCAGCTCACAGGCATTCCATTCATACTGGTTTTGGCGATGGCAATGTGGCATTGAGGTTCATCTGTGTTCCTTGTGGCTAGTTCCTCTGGTCTGGGAGAGACATGGCTGTATAAGTCATCTTTGCAGACCTTGTTTCTAGCGTGGGACTTGGTACATGCTTGTTGAGTGAACAAATGAACGAAGCAGGGAGGATCTTCTGGAGCCCTCCCCGTCTAGTAATGGCACTCTGATCATGCTGAGCTTGGCCAGTTTGGAACCAATGGCGTTGTTTCCCATTGTTGACCCAGCCCTGGCTGTTGGTCAACCGAGTCTTGGGTTTCCATCTTATTTGCTGCTCCTGAGCACAGTGTATCTGCCACAGTTTCATGCAGCTATGGCTGTTTTTTCACTCAAATACTGGACCTTATATTTCACCCTGGTATATTTCATTTTGTCACATTCAATTCCAAATGACTCTTTTTGCCCGAAGACTGTGGTACCAGAAAAGTCCTCTTGCCTCTGGGATTGGGTAGCCGAAATAACCAGACTATAAACTATCATTTGAATTCATGACGGTCTTGTACGTGGCAAAATGTGCCTCATCTTTATAAGCCAAATTAAATGTACAGGGAGTGACGTTTTTGACAAATAGGTTTTATTGGCCTCTGGTTAATTTTGGCTATACCCTGTAAAAACTGTCTCTAACTTAGCACTTGAACATAAAGAACATATATAATGTCCACAGTTCACAAATAGACACGACGATTATAAGGCCTTAAAGAATATCTGTAATAGGGTATTCCTCTATGAAGTGTACTTATCGAAATGGGGTCCAAGGACCATGTGCATCGGAGTCTATGGGTCAGTTGTTAAAATACAGATCCCTGGGCCCCATCCTGGACTCACTTAACTGCATCTCCTGGTGAGGGGTTCCGGAATCTGCGCTTTCAATCTGCTCCTAGAATGATTCCGATGTCTCCTGAAGGTTGAGAACTGCTTGTGGGATTAGCGATGACTAGAGAAGTCGTGAGGAAGGTGAGCCCCAGTGGTATGTGATGATGCGGTGGCGCTCCACGCCAAAATACCTGTCATTGGCATTACCACCTGGAGGCTCTGGAGTCCAAATTCCAATTAAGTCCCTTGTGTTGAGGCACCAGAGGAAAACGGCTAGGCTGGGCCGGGACATGGAGGTATGGCCCAGGCTGGAGTCTGGGAGCTGCAAGCTGTAACTTGAGCATAGGCATGGAGGGGACCCATAGGGAAGGCAGTGGGCATCCCTTGACCTTGGCCTGGTGTGTGTATACACATAGGGGTCAGGAGGAGAGAGCTGGTGTGCTGATGACCCAGTCTTTGCATACCTGGCTGTCTTCAACTCTGCCATGTGTCACCTGAGAAACAAGGCTGGCAGGGCAGGTAGGGACTGAGACCAGGAGGGCACACTGTGTGTCAAGCCCTGAGGTTTTTGTTCTGTCCTAAAGGGGGTGCCATGGAAGGACCTGAGCACATGGCAGAATGTGTTGCTGTCTCTATTTGCATAAAATGTGATAAGGGGATTTCTACCCGTGTTCCCTAAGTAATTCTCCAGCCTCCAGGCCATGACTCCAGCCTCCTTCGGTCCACTCTGACCCTGAGCTGACTTGCCCCAGATGATTTGTCACCATTCTTTCAAAGCCTCCTGAACTCTGCATACAACAGTCCAACTTCTTTATCATCAAAATAGCCTCAAACTCTGAGGTCAGAGGGAATTTGTGGAACAGGTTCTGACGTCAGACAGACCTGGGTTTGTATCTGGGCCCCATTACTTATTAGCTGTGTGACTATGGGCAAGTTGCTTTACATCTCTGAGTTTCAGGTCCTCTAGGTCTCAGCCTTGGGAAGGAAGCAGCCATGAACCTCTCTACCTGGTCCCCACTCTTCCCTGGATTCCACACAGGAGGCACTGTCCTTCAGTGCCCTTTGTCTTTGCTTTGCAGATGTCATCATTGAATCTCCTGGAATCTTTTCACATCCACCATGAACATCTCTCACTTCCTGGCCTTGCTGTTCCCAGAATCCCCACAGGGTCAAAACAGGAGCAAGTCAAGTTCTCTGTACACGCCATACAACTTCTCTGACTACTGCCAGGATTCCGTAGACCCAATGGTCTTCATTGTCACCTCCTACAGCATTGAGACCATTGTGGGAGTCCTGGGCAACCTCTGCCTGATATGTGTGACCATTAGGCAGAAGGAGAAGGCCAATGTGACCAACCTGCTTATTGCCAACCTGGCCTTCTCTGACTTCCTCATGTGCCTCATCTGCCAGCCACTCACGGCTATCTACACCATCATGGACTACTGGATCTTTGGCGAGGTCCTTTGCAAGATATCGGCCTTTATCCAGTGTATGTCGGTGACAGTCTCCATCCTCTCGCTCGTACTTGTGGCTCTGGAGAGGCATCAGCTCATCATCAATCCAACAGGCTGGAAACCCAGTGTCTCGCAGGCCTACCTGGGGATTGTGGTCATCTGGCTCATCGCGGGCTTCCTTTCCCTGCCCTTCCTGGCTAACAGCATCCTAGAGAATGTCTTTCATAAGAACCACTCCAAGGCTCTGGAGTTTCTGGTGGATAAGGTGGTCTGTACTGAGTCCTGGCCACTGGACCATCACCGCATCATCTACACCACCTTTCTGCTGCTCTTCCAGTACTGCATCCCACTGGCCTTCATCCTGGTCTGCTACGCTCGCATCTACCAGCGTCTGCGGAAGCGGGGGCGGGTATTCCGCAAGGGCACCTACAGCTTTCGGGCTTGGCAGATGAAGCGGATCAATGTGGTCCTTGTGGTAATGGTGGCTGCCTTTGCTGTGCTTTGGCTGCCCCTGCATGTGTTCAACAGCCTGGAGGACTGGTACCATGAGGCCATCCCCATCTGTCATGGCAACCTCATCTTCTTGGTGTGCCACCTGCTTGCCATGGCCTCTACCTGTGTCAACCCTTTCATCTATGGTTTTCTCAACACCAACTTCAAGAAGGAGGTCAAGGCCTTGGTGCTGACTTGCCAGCAGAGCGTCCCTGTGGAGGAGTCCGAGCATCTGCCTCTGTCCACAGTGCACACGGAAGTCTCCAAAGGGTCTCTGAGGCTCAGTGGCAGGTCCAACCCCATCTAGCCAGGTTTAGGGCTTCTCTCTGCCATGTTCATTACCAGCCTCCCTCACTTAGCTAAGTGGGCACGTTGCAAGCTGGGGGTGGCACTGGCTTTGTGGGGCCCAGATAGGGGCCTTGTGAAGCCGAGCATTCTGATGGTTCAGCTGTCGTTCTTGGGAGAATTCTGAGTCTGGGTTCTGCAGGTCACACACAGTATGTCTTGCATCCTGAGCAGATGCCGGAGCCGGAGATGGTCTGATTGATGGTCTGTAGTTCATTCTGGTAACTCAGCAACAGATGCCCAGCCTGGGAGCCCAGGGATTTCACTTCCACCCGTGAGGCTGCAAGGCCGTGGTGGGGTGAGGGGAAGAACATGTGGAGTCAGAGCTCTGGACCTTGGTAAACCCCTAACCTCTGTGGGAGACGATGTTTGTGGATGGGCTTTGTAAGTGGTAAAGAGTTCTATGGAGGCAAGACAGGGGGATTACTGTATATCATTAGCACATCCAGCTGCAGAGAATGGACCCTGGCAGCCAGCTCACACTCCTCTGTGGTAGGAAGATCGGCCCTGAGCAGCAGGAATTCCAGGGTTCACATGCTACTCCATCCTTTTTCTCTTTCTTTGTATCTGCCACCTTGAATGGAAATAAGCCTGCAAGTATATCTCCTTGATAGGACTGTGGGCCCCTTGAGGGTGACATCTGTATTGTCAAAGAGCTTGGGTCCCCTAGGCCTGGGACAGCCCCTGGCCCAGGGAGAGAGCTGCAGAAAGATTTACCGTGGTGACAAGAAAGGTAGCAGGTGCCCCTGCTGAGTGCCGAGCTGAGGACAGCACCCTGCGCCACAGTCCAGCGTAGGAAGGGCTCAGGCTGCTGCAGCCACACCCTCTCGCCTGCCCTTCCTTGCCTCCTAGGACCTCTCTTGACAAGGCAGCTGGCCAAGGACTCTGCGGCCCTCCCCAGTCCACCCGCTGCAGAGACTTACAGTACTTAAGGCCATGACTCCAGCCTCCTTCGTTCCACTCTGCCCCTGAGCTGACTTGCCCCAGGTGATGTGTCACCGTTCTTCCGAAGCCTCCCCAGGACTTTGGGCCTCCCAGCGGCTTTCAGTAATGGCAGGGCCAGGGAGGGGGTTCTTAAAGTCTGGGGCACGGGCTGAAAGGAGCAGAGTGTCCCCCTTCCTCCAGCCAGCCTGGGAAATGGAGAAAGGGCTACGATGAGTGTGAATATCTCACCCGTGGAGGTCAAGGTTCAGGCTTCTGGATCCAAGGCTTCATCTGTGTGTGGACCAGACAGCTTGTCCTTGCAGAAAGGGAAATGTCAAGATTGCTGTGGGCCACCTTGGATGGGATGTCCAGACCTGGTTGTACCTGCTCAGTCCTGCAGAGTGGCTAGTGGCTGGACCCACCACGGCCTCCCGGGGCAGGGTATTCAAGTCCCCAGACCCTTCGGGGGGCCTCACTGTGAGGCTCCTAGGGTTGGCTCTACACAGGGCCTCTGGCAAAGGGCCAGGTAGCAGGAGATTGAACAGCCACATTTGATCATCTCTCTGGCCTGGCCTCTGACCAAGAACCTGTACAGCTGACACCAAAGACAACTGCTCTTTGAGTCACCAGCTCCCTTCCTGGAACTGTTTATTTTGTCCCAACTTTTGGTCACATCTCTCATTCCATTCCTTTGCTCGCCTTTATCCTGGTTCTTTGGACAGATTGTTGAGCCATTCTCTTGGTTGCAGCTTGTGCTTGTCCTCTGGTGCCACCTGCTGCTGGCTGCTCCAGGTAACCACCTGCCAGCAAAGCCCAGACCCTGGGACCCATTCCAGAAAGATGTCATTGCTCAAGCTCCGCAAGGAACTGGGGGCCTCAGACCCCTCCAGATCCCAGACGATTGCCTGGAGTTTGTGTGTCACCACTCATCTCAGTGGTGCCAAGATGCTTGGGGACAAGGATGCTTTAGGGTGCTAGCATGCTTGAAGACTGGGGGACCAGGCTGAGCATCTGGTGAAGGTGCTTGGCATTGGGAATTTGGGTAGAGGATGGAAGCCTCGCTGAGTATCTTCTGTGCTCCCCTCACCTTGCTGGGTTGGCACAACTTGCGTGGATGGCTGTCTCCTGCTCCTGTTCCTAATGACCCTTGGGGTTTCCCATTTATCCAGCACCTTTGGCACTTGTATCTCGAAGTGTACTCAGAAAACCAGCAGCCTTAGCATCACTTGGAGCTTGTTTGGCATGTAGAATCTCTCTTCCCACCCCAGACCTATTGAATCAGAATCTGCATTTTATCAAGATCTCCGAGTTAATGGTGCAAACATTCGAGAAGCTCTCCTCTAGGAAACAGATTGCCCTGGAGCATGGAGCCAGTCGGTGAGCCCCTTTAGACACCCACGGTGGGATGTACAGTAGAGCTATAGGAATCCTAGTTCTAGAGATATGGCTGTAAAATGGTATTGCTAAAAAGGTGGATTCAGTTTTGATTGCATATCTGGCTGCATGTGGACATATTTCTTGTGGCCTTTTCCTTCCTTCAATAAATATTTGTGAAATGAACAGTTTGCATGGTTATATTCTTGGCAAACATGCTCCTCTGTATTCTGCTCTGTTTCACTTAAAACTGTATCATCAACAGTTTTCCATCTCGCTGGATATTATTTTTGCCAGCTGGTTAAGAATCTAGAAAATGCTCCAGTGAAAGCTGGTACCTCTGAACAGCGTCTCTCTTTAGCTCTTGGAGGGGCCTTTTCTCACCCAGAAAACAGACCTGTCCCTGATAGTAGTGGGAGGAACCCATCTTCATAGGAGCACCATGGCTGGAATTGGAGACTCACACCGACAAAGACTGCCTGGGGACACTCGGAGGGTGCAAAACCTTATTGAGTCCTGTCGATGAGAGTGTAAATCCTGCCTAACTTTAGCCCTTCCTTATTATTTTTATTTCTTATTTTTTGGCTGCGCCATGTGGGTTGTGGGATCTTAGTTCCCCAACCAGGGATTGAACCCGGGCCATGGTAGTGAAAGTCCTGAGTCCTAACCACTGGACCGCCAGAGAACTCCCAAGCCCTCCCTTTGTAAAGAAATGACCTTGACTTGTTTTTTCCATCATAAAAGTAATCATATTCATTTTTAAAAATATGCAAAATTAAAATAAAATGAAAAAGGAAATCATATTTCACCACCCAAAGATGATTACTGGTTACATTTTAGGGAGTTATTTCTTTAGTTTATATATATATAGCGTTAGGGTGCTTTTTGTTTGTTTGTTTTTTTAAAACATGGTTGAGATCATACTGTGAGCGTATGCAGATTTACATGTAAATTTAAGGATGATTTTATCTTTTTTTTGCTGAACTTTATAAGAATATTTATTCATTCATTCAACAAATATCAGTTACATGGTAGGTGCTGGGGGTAAGTGATAAATAAAATAGACACCATCCCTGTTCTCAGGGAGTTGATAATCCAGTCAGTGGGTCCATCCTGCATACTTAATCATTATCTATTGTGGCATATTTAGATGTTCCTAGACCTATTATAAATAATTCTGTGACAAATGTCTATGCAGAGAACTTTCTTCTGTATTTGGAATTATTTCCTGAGGAGAGATTTCCAGAAGTGGAATTAGTGGATCAAAGGGCATGGACATCTTTCAAGGCTCTGGATGTGTATTGCTAAAGTGATTTCCCAAGAGGCTGGAATGATTTCCACTCCCTGAATAGTGCCTGTTTCCCTGTACCCTGGACACTGTTGAAAAATTACCATTAATGAAAAGACCCCCATGTTCACTCGATCTTGTTTTCCTCTCATTCACTCACGAGCATCAGTCCAACATCACCAGTTTTCTGGGCTCCCCTTCACACAAAACTCCAGAGGCTTGTGGAATCTCGAAGTCTCTGCTTCTCCTCCTCCCATGCTCTTTTGTCCACCCAAGTAGCTCTTGCCAAGGTCACTGGTGACCTCCGTGTTGCCTAATCCCGTGGCCAATTCTCAGTCTTGTCTTATGTGGCAATCAGTATCATGCGGCAGTTGGTCAGTTTTTTCTCTTTGAAACTCTTCTGCATGTGACTACTTCAGGATGCCACACTTGTGGTTCTTTCCTGACTCACTGGGCACTCCTTCTCAGGCTCCTTTCCTGGGCTCTCATCTCCCTGACCTTGGAACATTGCCCTGTCCCCAGGAAGCCATGGAGGCCCATCTGCTCTCATTCCCTAGGTGGGTTCATCCAGGCTCCTGGCTTGCTTTCTTTTTTTTTTTTTTTTGCGGTACACGGGCCTCTCACTGTTGTGGCCTCTCCCGTCGCGGAGCACGTGCTCCGGACGCGCAGGCTCAGCAGCCATGGCTCACGGGCCCAGCCACTCTGCGGCATGTGGGATCTTCCCGGACCGGGGCACGAACCCGTGTCCCCTGCATCGGCAGGCGGACTCTCAACCACTGTGCCACCAGGGAGAAGCCCTCCTGGCTTTCAATACCACCAAATGTTTCAATGTCCAATGCTCTCAAATGGGAATCTCTAGTCTGGACTTCCCCCTGCTCTCCAGATTTGTTTATCCAGCCATTACTTTGTGTTTACTGGACATCCAATCAGTGTGTTCAAAAGCAGGCTCCTGATTTGCCTCCTCACCTCTTCTTCCTTAATCTCCCCCTTTCAGTAAATGGCAACTCCCTCGTTTCATTTCGTTGCATTCCAGAATTCATTTCGTTGCATACCTCAGAATGTGACTTTATTTGGAAGTAGGGGCATTGAAGATGTTCTTAGTTAAGATGAGCTCATAGTGGAGTATGGAGGGTCCCTAATCCAATGTGACTGCGTCTTTACAAAAAGAGGAAATTTGGACACAGAGACACTCACACACAGGAAGAACGCCATGTGAGGTTGAAGGCAGAGATCTGGGTGATGCTTCTACAAGCCAAGAAGGGCCAAAGATTGCTGGAAAACCACCAGAAGTTACTAGAAAGGCATGGACAGATTCTCCCTCACAGCCCTCAAAAGGAACCAACCCTGCTGGCCCTTTGGTTTTGGACTTCCAGCCTCCAGAACTGTGAGACAATACATCTCCGTTGCTTAAGCCACCCAGTTTGTAATACTTTGTTATGGGAGCCCTAGCAGACTAATACAGGAGGTGAGATTGAAGGGAGGGAGACCCGTCCACGTGAGCTATTGGGTCAGCAGGTGTTCAGTAGTTGGAGATAGACCACAATTCAAACTTGTTACGATGAAATAGGGAATTTATAGACTCATGTCATGGGGCTGTCCAAAGGAAGTTCTTTGACTGTAGGCTGGATTCAGGGGTTAAAACAATGACATCAGAGCTCTCCTTTCCTTGCCCCCTGGTCTCTATCACTCTCTCTAATCCCTTGATTCTGCTGGTCTCTTCATGGCTTTACACTCTACATGTGATAGTAAGAGGCCCCACAGCTCCTGTCTTACCTTGGTCCTTGTGAGCCCAAGGAGAAAGGGCATAGCTTTCTCGCCATGCCCAGTAAGAACTCCGGGGAGGATTCTGATAGTTCAGCCCTTAACTGATGACTGTGGCTGAGTGGCTGGAACACTTTCTGTATCCAGGCCTGGATCCCTTGACCACTCCTAGATCAAGATGGTGGGGTCAGCCCCACTTGAATCACATGGATGTGCAGGGTTATCATACCAGGGCATAGAGGTAGTCCCCAAAGAAAGTAATGCCGGGCAAGCAACAAAAGCAGAAGTGGACTTAGAGAGGATAAATGGATTAGAAAGATACTTGGGTGTCAAGTGGACAGGATGACTTGGGTGTGGGAGAGAGAAAGAAGATTCCCAGGTTCCAGACTTGGGAAAGTAGGTATATGTCTGGTCCATTTAGTGAGATGGAGAGGGTTTTTATTTTTTTGGTTTATCTTTGGACATGCTGTGTTTGGGGCCCTCTTGGGTGTGCAGATGGATGGCCAGATGCTTGAGTCTGGAGCTCTAGAGAGCTTTGGCCAAGGCGTGACCAAGTCATGCTGAGGGGTGGGGCTGGGTTATGGCTAGACTGGGGTGTGAGCTGATCTGGAGCTGGATGTGGGCCAAAGGAATTCCAGTTTCCCAGAGCTGAATCTGCTGATAGGACACTGAGGTCAGCAAACCAGGTGGGGTCCTGGGATACGGGGTGGGGTAGTGCTCAGCAGGATGCCCCGGTAGACAGGGTGGAGTAAGCCGGCACAGGAGCTATTTTCCCAGAGATGCCACCGGGTAAGTTGCCCTTCATCTGTGACCTGTGGCCTCAGTTCTTCTGAGAATCAA